ACTTTGTTTCTTATTACTACATTTTGAAGCTGAGGTACAGGCAACAGAGCGCCGACTGATCTGATTTGGTGCATTGGTTGAGTGGACGAGTGTTTTGTATGTTTGGTTTCCAATTTTCAATTTTAACGTATAAGGTTAGAGCTAGGTTATTGAATTAAGGGTTTACTAGTAATGTTAATTGGGTCAGAATTTTGGGGAAGCCCAATTGTCAAAATTGCCCAATTAATTTTGGGAAAGAATAATGGAAAGCCCAATTACTCAATTAATTTTTTTAATGGGTAATCGGATTGGGGCGTGGCACTGTCGCTAAATACCATACCCGTCCCACCCCGAACCGTGTCATTAAAATCAAAACCATAACCACCCCATTGCACCATCAGTTCGATTTTTTTTGCCCCATTTGGTTCGGTTAACTGCAATTTTCGATTTTAATAGTTCGAATTGCCATCTCTAACCTCATACACTATAATTATCAAATGCCCATAGATGAATTTTGAATGGCATGCTCCTTTTATGGATTCACTTCTCTCAAACGGTTTAACAAACTTTCAATGTGAGGTAGTGGTATCATAGATGCACTTCTTTCAAGTGTTTTCATATACTTTCAATGTGAAATAGTGGTATAGCAAAAACAGGTTAAAATGCCCATCAAAACCATTTCTCAAGCCAAATATATTATTTTGAAAATCCCAACTAACTAAATTGTAATAACCACTTCCATCTTTTTTAATTTTCAAATTTAACTTAAATTACACTTGATAATGAATCTCATTAATTTACTTAGAATTATTAATAGGAAAATCAAAAAGATTACTGATTTCATAGTATTTTATTGTTTGTGTCTATTTATTTATTGCATCTGGTTCGACCCTTGTTGAACCTTTTGACCATTCACCCTTCACTTTTTTTGGGTCGATACTCGGATCGGTTTTCGAAACATTGATATTTATACACACAAATCATCAAATAAAGAAAAAAGAACGTAAAATGCATCATACCCATGGATAGCCGCAGAAGATTTTGGATGGAGCAATGAAATGGATGTGGCTTAGATTTTCTAGCTGATGAGAAGAGGAAGTTCGGTGGAGTAGTGAGAGAAATATAGTGAGAGAAATTTTCACTCGGTAATTGAAAATTTAAGGGATTATTAGAAGGTAATTGTGGTATTTGGAAGTAGGTTCAGGAATTCTATAGTATTTTAAATAGATTTTGAACGTTAAATTCACTTGACTTAAAGGTCGAGATTATCTGTCAAATAAGCTTATCAAATTAATGAATAGGAGGTACAGTCCAGTATATATACGCAAAGAAGGTTGAGTTTAAGAATTACTAGCAAACTGTAGTAAAATTTGTAAATAAAGATATTTCTTTAAAAAGAAAAATGAAACAAAACTTATTTATCAGAATGTTAAATAGCTTTTGGCATTTAGTTTACATTGAAAATTGACTTTGAATAATCAATGGCCCTCAAAGACAATGTGCATAATCATTTGAATACATATTTTGTCATCCAAACTGAAAATCATAAATTTAATTGTCAATAATAGAACAGTTTTGGCTAAATATATTTTTCTAACTCCAATATATAGAAGACAAAAGTATAATTTTTTTTATCATATACGTAAGACTACAACTCACGTACTTAATATACATCTACAAACAAAATAAACAAGATTGCTGTGCTGCTGTACAAGTTAGCAAGGCGTAGAGTTTTGACTCGAGTGTTCTCGTCCTCCTAGAGAATATAGTCACAATATTAATGTCCACAAATTTCCAGTGTTTCACCAATTCTTGAGCAATTCATTAGCAGCATCCTTGTAGCTGACTTTCTTTTTCTTAAAAGGCTTCTCATTTACTTCCGAAGGTAAACTTCCCTCTCCAAGTTCGGGAATCACACCTTTCTCTTTCTCCTCTGCCAGAATACGAAGAGCACCTTTTGCATTGTCCTCTTTCTCGACAGGACAAGTATCCTCTTCGAGGATGGTATTGGCTTTATCTGTTTTCTTAGTTGCAAGGCTAGGTATCATGTTAAATAACATAGCTTGAACTGGATCAACAGAAGTTTCGTGTTTACCATGTTCTGCAACTTCTGGTTCAACTTCTTCGCATTTATCTGATAATTCGTAATCTTTTCCTACGTCTTTCGTTAGATTATGCCTGCTTACTATCTCGGGACTTCCAGAATTTGTGTGTCCAACTTCGAATTTTCCTTCGATATTTTGTTCATCTGAAGAAGCCCCTTCTGATTCATTTTCTAAGATCTTTGCGGGCTTATGTATAATCTGTGCCCTTGTTCTTCGAGGCTGATTAAAAACTGATCTCCCTTCATCAGGTACCTTCTCAACATTCACATGATTTGCACCAGTGAGTTCAGATTCTTCCTCAATAGTTAGCTCATCCGAAGAAGCACTCTTGTCTGATTCAATTTCAGAGATTTTAGCTGGCTTGTTTCCATAGCGTGCCCTTGTTCTCGGAGGTTGAATGGCACCTCTTCTTCCACTATTAGTACTTGTCTTACTGGGCCTTCCCCTTTTCCTTTTTCCGTCCCTATTAGGCAAGTCAATAACTCTTGGCTTCTTCGAATTTTTGGTTCTCTGTTTTCCAACTTCATCCGAATAAGGTGATGTATCCTGCTTTTCTAGATTATCCAAGCTTTGATAATCTTCTTGGTCAAGATCTTGTTTGTTACTGAAGAAACACCAATAACCGAAAAGGTTACAAGATTACATTAGATACAAGTTAGTGAAGCAAATGAAAGATATCTTTTTGGAGCTCCCAGCATTGTGTGGTTGACTCATTGAAGCAATTCTAAATCATAAACATCTTTTCCCAAAAATTAAGCCTACTCACACAAGCGCAAATAATGACATTATTCACACATTTAAGCCTGACAACAAGAAACAATTCATATCACTTACCTTGGAGACGAGACTATACATTACAAATAATTCTTATGACGTAAGTAAGTTGGAGACAAGACTGCACATAAACTTTTCTATAGTATACTCAACGCTCAACAGTATTGAAGGATCGGGTAGTCAACCCAATGTAAGTACAGGATAAGCCTTGGTTGAATTGAGTTGGTTTGAGTGGTATGCTAAATTTTATTATTTCAAGTCTAAACATTAATTTTTTGATGGCTACTCGGAACCATACTTCTGTCACTATATAAGTATTCAGTACCTTTATATAAGAAAATTTAATACTTCTTTAATTGTTATAAAATAAAATAAATTTTATGAGAGAAATACAGAATACAATGAAGAAGACGCAAGATAAATAGACCTCTGTTTGATACACATTAAAATTTCAATTCTCATTCTTCTACTTATTTAGTTATTTTTAACTACACATTCTTCAATAAAATATAATTTTCCATCACATCAATAATTTTTCCTTCTTTTTCAACCACGCATTCTCCATCAATCTACTATTCCAAAATACATTCTTTCAAAATCATGTGGCTCAAACACACCCTAAAAGGAACAACCAAAAGGGCATCCAATAACAGCTAATGGAAAATGCCATTCCAGTCCCCGGTGAATTGACCAAAGTTGTTCACGGTAAGGTAACGGCAACCATAGCCCAAAGAGAAGCCAAGAGAAATAATCTAGCAGAATCAGTGGTAAAGAGAGTTGCTTGAAATCCTTGCATTTTGCTCATTCCATGCGCATCAAGGAACCACCATTATCACTCATTGCCAAAGGATACTAGTTATCCTTGTCTCTCAAATCCTACTTCATTAGAAATATGTCTAATTGGAATGAGAAAGTATAGTTGCTTCCTTTGGAATCGCAAACAATATATTTGAGGACTCCTTTGATAATCACAATTCACAGAGAGACAATCACGTGTCAGGCTACCAGTGGCGGAGCCAACACCAAACGAGGGGGCACTGTCGCGCGTGCTGGCTCCGCCAGAATTTTTAGTAGACGTCGAGCGTCACGCCCAATTGCAGAGCCGAAATTGTGGAAGGGAAGCCAAGGAAGAAGATGAATGTCAACTGGACTGGGTTAACCTCTTTTTTTCAAGTTTTAGGCCTCGTAAGTTGGGCCTCTTTTATTTTAAAACAATAGGCCCAACTCATTTATTTTGATTAGCCACGGGCCACAACAAATTGGAGGAAATGGTCCAAAATCCAAATCAATGAAATCACAATGCAATTGTAAAAAAACCATTTTCGCTTCTTGCTATGGTGATTGGGCAAACTATGGAGTCTCGATCTCCTACTAGCTGATGATGCTGACGGGCGATGACTTGCCGGCAGCTGCCGACACCAACGCCGACTCGTCGCCAGCCTTGCAATCTCCGATCTCAGACTGTGACTTGTGAGCATCTCTCTCTCTTTTTTGTTTTTTTTTTCTTTGTTCACGTAATGATATAATCACATAATTCAATTTTTTATTTATTATTTATGAGTTATGAATATAATTTATGTTTAATGACTTATGAGTTATGACTGAGAAATGAGAATTGTTATTTATGAATTATGATAAATAATATAAGTTTTATGACTTATGAGTTATGATTGATCATGTGAGTTTTGATTTGTAATTTGGGAATTTATGTTTAGGAAATTAGGATAAGTGGAAAAAAAATTAATAGAGAAGATCTAAAACTCGATTAAACTATGTGTTCTCTTTTTTTAGTGCATTTACTTAAGTTGCAATAACACATGTAAAGTTCATTTGAAGCGTGATCTATTAGTGCGTTTACATATATATTGAATAATTTTTAATATTATTTAATTAAATATTAATAGATGACATCGCTATTACAATCGTTGATTATCGACGGTTAATGGTAAACGATCAACGATCAAAGTCCGCCCTAATTGAACTCTAATCTTGGATTCGCCACTGTTGGCTATCCTTCATTCAGTTAACACACATTGGAGAAAAGCTGGTAAAAAGCCATTAGTATCAATGTAACGATTGGGCCTCTATGCCCAAGTCGTTAGAACATACGTATTTTCTGTTTCGGGAGGACATCTCCCCTCTTACACCCTCAGGACTTTCTATCGAGTTACCAAAATTTGAACCTAAGACATCTGTCTTATGAGAGATTTAAGTTAAATTTTGGTAAACATTATTATATTGGACACACCACTCATATTGAAAATTACGATCAAGGATGACTCGCTTGAGGGACCGTAATAGTGAACTCTTCACAGAATATAAAGTTAGTTAACAAGCGCCCTTGACCTATCTTGATTAAAACCAAAAACATATCTAGAGCTTGTTTGAGAGGAATTAAAATCCAATTAAAATTGAAAATATAACCGTTATTGGATCTCACTCGTCTAATAAAAGTCAACAATAACAGCTAGTTTTTTAATTTTAATCCGATTTTAATCTCTACCAAACAAGCTCCTAAAGTGGAGCCTAGTTTAAGCTAAAATCAAGTGAATAGTTCACATGCACCTCATGGCTCCATTTCTAATCCAGTCAATTTTATAGATAGAAGATCACGAACCTCCATCACTGAATCTCACTCCTCGCATCAGTTATAGGTTGCGTTGATTGACGACTTATAACATCACATCTGGAACGATCTATCTATGAGTCAAAGTCGTTTTTATGAATTAGTACATCGCTATGGCTTTGATAGAGAAAAAGTGGACAAAACTTATCTTCTTTCACCCCCCTCAAAATACCAGGTACCAAAATTTATCTTAAATGTCTCATAAGGCAGAAATCTTGATTTCGAATCCTGGGAACACGATAGAAATCCATGAGGGCCTCTCAGAGCGGACAATACATAACTTAATGATTTAGATATAAAGACCAAGTCATTACCAAAAAAATGAGCATTTTTTGTAACGATTGGACCTCTATGCCCAAGCCATCGTTAAAATATAAATACTGTATAGTACGTAAGTTAACAACTTATGCACAGATATCCAATGAATAATGCGTGAATATTCCTTCCAACTCTAGAAAAAAC